TTATCCCTTGTCTATAGACTGATGCTTCAATACTAAATAATTCAGGCAGAAATGTGTTCTATTTTTTATTTTAAGAAAAAATTCAATGTTTTCTTTGAGGTTTGCATGGGTGGATTTCCCTGCTTGCTGGGCTGCCATTGCAAAAAGATACATGCTTCTCGCTGCAGCTTGACTGACTGGCAGTGCTGATGTTTGAAGAAAACCTTGATAATTTTAATTCCTTTAGCATTCTAACACAAAGGATGGCTTTATCCCTTATGAAGAGATCTGGAAACAGATAAAGATTGCTAACATTGAATTAATATATGTAGTGCAAATAATCAGACTGTAATAAAAGGCAAAATGTCCAAAGCCGTAGTGGTAGCTCTTTTTTTCTTTCCGCCCCCCCCTTCTTTTTGTAGCATAGGGGAAGGAAGAGATGAAAGAAACATTATCCAAGCCTCCTTTTGCCATCAGCCCTTCTTGAATAAAGAACGACTGGAAGAGCTGCTCTGCAGCAAATGGTGTTAGTTTCTGTGCACCAGTGTGAATTTAGTTTCCAAGGCTTAGTTGTAAGTTTCAGCATTTTTGTAAAAGCTACATGCAAAGAGGAAAGAAAGCAAAAGAAGTTACACATTTACCCACTTATGCCTGAGCAGAGGCTTTTTTTTCCCAGCTGAAAAAAGAAATACAGTTATACTTAAGTGCCTATATATCACTATTACATGATGAGGACCCCTAGGATTGAAAGTTTCTTTGGTCCTGTTACTGTTTTAATAATGGGAAGCCTTCCTGTGAGGAAGGCAGCATAGGGATTATAAAACTGATTGTCTGTTGAAGGAGAGCTGAGACTCTGCAATTGGTGCAAGTAAAAGATGCTTGCAGTGTCACGGGCTGCTTTAACATGGCACATGTGGTAGATGAGAATTGAGCCTGTAACAGGTCTAATCTAAGCACCACAACTGTTTGGAAATAGGATGAATTGCTGAATGTAGGGAACAGATAGCAGGTGTAACAGTAATCTGTGTAATCTGCTACTGCATATTAAAGGGAAAGTCACAAAAAAGTCAGTGCTTCCTGTCCTCTGCCTGTTTCATACCCGGTGCCCATGGATTACCTTGTCTCTCTGTTGTTACAGTTTCAGAGTCCAGAAAATCACTTGCTGCTCCCTGGGGTCCTCAGAAGGCTATTTCCTGTATAGATCAGCCTATTAAGCTATGAGGGTTCTTGGTATCCTTCCTTGCTTACACAACACGGAATCGATGGAAAAGCAATTAGAAGATACTGTGTTACTTTTTGGTCTCTGCTTTTTTTTCTATCAAGAAATTCTGCACAGAGAGAAATTTCCCAGAGCTGGCCTTCCAAGCTGCAGTTCAGGATTTGTTTTGTTTTGCAGGTGCTTGCTGACCTGAGTTAGGTCATTACCCCAGAATTTAGAGTTCAGGCCTCCCTCTGCTGCCAGGCCCGGAATTAGCAGAGCATCCTGGAGTGTCTGCTGACATTTCCCCGTTGTTCCTCAGGAACAGGCAGAGCTCACAGCAGAGCTCCCTTCCCTCTCCAGCTTTTTCAGACATCAAGAAGAGTTGTGTGAATCACTAGGGGCTAGGGCTCTAGGGCTCTTGTACTTTCTTGCCTTCCATCACCTCTGTTTTTGGTGATCTCCCTGTGAATAACTGTTAATACTTGCTTCATCTGCTGCTTTTAGGCAGTGGTTCGGTAATGCTGAGCTTCAGCAAAAAACCAGTTTTCTGCTGTGCAGCTCCTGTTCCAAACTGACCACGCACGTGGGCATCCATCCCCTTGCTGTTACGGAAAGGCTGCTGTGCATTGTACGTTGGATCATTGATCTGGCTTCATGAAAAATTGGGAGATGGGGCACATTTCTTGGGTTTCTCCCGTTTTGAAGTTAGGTTGGTTCATGATCCTGCCCACAGCCCATCGTGACAAGCTGTGACTCAGCTGAACTGTGTGGGAACTCTGGGGGGATGACTGGGGGCTTCTAGAGCTGATAATGTTTGATAAAGCTGCTCTTTCCTCAAACCATCGTGAACCAGCAGTGCTGGAAAACTTGTCTGAAGCTGGGTTTGTTCACAGCTACCTCTTCACTGGTGTAGAGTGTCAAGGTACCTGGTTCTAGTCTTATCACAGACAGCTGTTGCGGCAACAGAAACACACACAGTCTTTCTTCAGGCTCAGGGGCAACAGAAACACACACAGTCTTTCTTCATGCTCAGGATGGCAGAATGTCCATCTATGGTTTTTGCAAGTTTGTTAAATTTAACCATAGGGCTAGAATTTCAGTCTGTGTTTCTAAATCATCACCTGAATTTTGTAGAAATTGGTGCTTTGAACCCTGCCTGGCTTTCATTTTACAGGTGGCTGTGTCTCTAAGGTGTCTTAAAAGGTATAGTTATGGCTTTCAGTTTTAGACATAAGGAAAAGATTTAATTTATTTTTGAGACTCAGAAGGAGAAATCCAAAGGTTAACAGTTGGTTGATATATCAGATGTTGCTTGGTATGTGTATCTGCTCTTTATTTTTGCATTTCCTTTTCTCTGCTTCTCCAGGTGTCATCTTGACATGAGTACATTGAAGCTTGGCACTAAGAAGTATATGAAACTTGCTGGTAGGGGTGGAGAAAAGAAACTGCAGCATCCTTGTGTGTTTCAAAATGCCTTATAAAAGCTCACTAAAGAGTGAGAATTCAATTCTGTGAAACAATTTTCATAAGCACTTGGTACAAACATGAAAAACACCAACATCTCTGCATACTGTGCAAGCACATGATACACAGTATAGTGCATTTAACATTAGTAAAGGGAATGGTTATGTCTAGTTAGTAGCACAGGATAGGAGAGAAGGTTTTTGAAGTGTCCTGCTCAGAAGTGGCATTAATCCAGTAATAGCCAAGCAGTAAACCCTGTAATGGTTTTCTAAATGGCCTGGTTAGCCCTGAGGATGTTTGGGCTTTATTGTTGCACATGTAATTTAACGAACTTTAAAAGAGACCTCTAGGCAACAGCCCAAACTCAGAAGGGCAGAGGGGAAAATGCTGATAGACAGTCCTACTGAGCTAGAACACAGTGGCTGTGAAGGAAATGCCACTGAATGGGCTGATGGCTGAAAGAAGTAAAGCAACCGCACTTGGACTCGCCAATGGGCTTTTTGTCCAAATGGGAGCCATCTCTTTCTTTAGGAAGTTATTTATGTTGGAAATCAGGACACAGCCAGGCTGCAGCAGGAAGGAAGAGATGGATAGTTGGTGACCACAAAAGGCTGTGCTCTGGGTACAGAACGACAGCTGTGCAAGAAGTAGGTTGGCTGAGAGGGCATTGAACTCTCCAAGAAAACCTCTTCAGCTCCTTGCACCACTGAAAATCTGGTGTCACGCTGGAGCCTTCAGAGCAGAGCTGAGGGAGCCTGGAGGGTGGTCACGGTGATGAGGCTTGCTGCCTGTTCAGCTAAGGATCCAGCAGCCCTCCTGAGGCCGCTCATCCAGTCTTACGACTCTTTGTGCTTTGCAAAAATACCAAAAAATGTGCACTTGGCAGAGGAGCACTTGTCACCCTGTTCCCAGCCTCGAAAGAGAGAAGCCTCTTACAGAAGTGCAGTGATTCCCAAGTGCTTCCCCAGCATTTAATAAAGTGTTACAGGCCTTTCCTGCCATGTCACTGTGTCTGCTTTGCTGAAAGGGATGTTGGAGCAGCAAAGAAGTGTTAAGCTGTTTTCCCCAGTGATGCAAATTGTCTGTATTGGAGTCAATTAAAGAAAACAGAATTTGCAACTTTCTTCCTGTGACTTCTAAATCATGCGTTTGAGAGGTGCTTGTGACAACATTTGTGCCTTAGCTTGGCAATTGGGTGGAAAAGCAGTCTCATTTTCCTGTGCTGATTCATAGGTCCCTAATGACAGGTTACATGTTAATACTTGTTTTCAGCAGTTATTGTGCAGTTGTGCTTTGACTGGGACCTGATAGCAAACATGAGTGAGAAGAGCTTCAGGCTAAGGGCCAATAGTGCAGCAATGATATTTCTTGCCTGCCTGTTTGAAAACAGTTCTCCCACAGTTGTAGTCCTTTTCTAAGGCGAATAGGTCAGAGGTGATTGCTCTTTGCTTGCTTTTTATTCTTTTTCAATGTATTTGACTGTGCTGTATAGCATCAGTTTTGTTGCTGCTCCATCATTACTTGATGCCCTATAGTCTGGATAAATGTGCAGTAAAGAGAGAGTCTCTGCGACAGTGTTAGTGGTGTCTAGAGAGACGAGGCAGAGAAGAAAAGGCATGATTCAGCAGTGTGCCCCGGTTGCACAAAAGCTCAGTTGCAGTCTGATACAGAGCACTTCTTCATGTGGGAAGGGACAAATTTCTTGTGTACAAGGTTGCAGGATCAGGAAAGATGAGCTCTTACCTCCCTTCTAGAGATTAACACCTTTAAAATAAACTGGCCTTGCATGTGACAGAGAAAGAAGTTCAAGTCTGTAGATAGTCAAAGGTCCCTTTCTGACTGTGATGGGGTCAGAAATTTTTGTAGTGTTTGAGCAGCATATTCAGAGTCAGTGTGAGAGTCCTTATTGTTTTAAATCTCACTGGACTTTAAGGATTTGTGTTACACTTAAAAGTCTCTTCTCCTAGCAGCTGATGGGCAGGTGGGAGTGTTTTTGTCCTTACCAGAGGGATTCTCCTCTCTTTGCAAGTACTGCAACCAAGTAGGGAAAAAAATGGCTGCTTCCCATTCAGAGGTGGGTGAGATAGGTCTGTCTCTGTCTCAGATTAAAAATCTCTCTTCAGTGCCACTCGAGGTGCTTCCAGTTCCAAGAGACCCGTTGTTTCTGTATTCTTCGGTCTAGGAAGTTGGAGAGCCCAGGGATGGTGGAAGTCTTGTGACAGGCTGGCATCCTTTGGCTGGAGAAAGTACTAAGAGTAGCCTTTGCTGCCATCTTTGAGCTCAAATGCATTTAGGTGCCAATTTAAAGCAGAATGTTGCTGGCTCACTGACATTGCTCTCTCCTATTTCGTTACAGCTCCTGTATGACAACCCAAAAGCCCGTCAGGAAGTAGAATATCATTGGCGAGCATCAGGGTGTCCTCACATTGTCCATGTCCTGGATGTTTATGAGAATATACATCATGGAAAGAGATGCCTCCTCATTGTCATGGAATGGTATGGACCAGCCACAACCCCCAACCAGGCATTGCTCTTTGAGGGGGTGGGGGGAGTGGGAGAATGTGTTGGCTTAGATGAGAGTTAGGTGAGCTTTCTCAGCTGCGTGATTTTAGTTTGCACAGTAAACCTTTTGTTGTCTTTATGGAACTGGTAGGGAAATTTATAGCTGCTTCAGCTATCTTGTATGATGGAAGAATGAGGAACCTTAACCAGAAAACAAATTTTCCTCGTACTTCCATGACTATTGTCCTCATTAAAGCATTAATTAATACCATCTTGAAAGATATGTTTCTAGAAATATGATACTCTCTGATTGTGATTAGCTTCCAACTTCAGATGTAAATCTTGTGATCTGCCATGATCCTTTTTGCTACTATTTTGACTCTTACTTTTCCTATTCTCTCCTTGATCTGTGATAATACAGTTATTGTCTTTCTCACTGGGGACAAATTAATAATCCTTTTCAGTATCTTTGCTTCCTTCTTTCTATTTTCTTCATCTTCAACCCTTACATAAACCAGTATTACCGTCAGCCTCCCAGTTCCAGTGTTGTGGACTTCCTAGCTGTGTGTTGTGTTGCTTGTGACAGGGTACGTTAAACTGAGACCATCAAAACTTCTTGGTCTTGTTTTGTTTTCTGTTTGTTCCAAATAAGAATGGTTTTGTGCATTGATTCGAATGTGTGAAGTTTTGGAAGCATTGGCATAGGAGGCCTGTAATACTTCTAATCTGTTCCTGCCATGGTTCTGTGTGATTATGTGGTTGCACAGTCAGGTGTTAATTTGATCTTTTCTGCTCATGTAAGGTGGGGTTTTTTGTATTCTTTGTTTCAGCATGGAAGGAGGAGAGCTGTTTAGCAGGATCCAGGAGAGAGGAGATCAAGCTTTCACTGAGAGAGGTGAAAAATCACAAGTTTAAAGTTGGTGAATGATTGCTTTTCCCTTTCTCTGTACTCTTGCTTACAGGAATTTTTCTTTAATTTGATTTTTGGTTTTAATTTTTAATCTCTTTCCTTTTAAATTTCTATCCAACTGTATTAAACAGTTATTTTTAAAAGTTCCTGAAAATCAGGAATTACCAGAATTGGCCAAGTTCAGGCACAATGTGGAAGGTTTAGAGGAAAATTCTTCATATGAGTCTGCTCAGCTTCTTCATTTCTGAACCACTGCAACCTCTGTTACTCTGATCCCTGGTCTCCTGCCAGACCACCTCTAACATGATCAGTGCAGCTCCTACTGTGATTTCTCTTCTGGCTGTCCCTCAGGCATCATCACTGTGCACTGCTATACTGTTAGGTGATTAATATAATGAGCAAATCACATTTGATGAAACATCTCTTACTCAAGGGTTTTAAAGTAGTACTTGAAAGGAAGTGTTATTAGCCACCCTGTAAACAAGCCTGCTTATCTATAAAGGGACTATGTGTAAGTTTAAAGACCTGCTGTGAGTCAGTGACAGTCTTGCCATTTTTATTGTCTTTGCTATTTATTATTTGCAGAGTACCACAGGTGTGCTTGCCTCTGGTTCTCCTTGACCATTCACAACTGCCAGGAGCTTGTTTCTGCTCAGGAGTAAAAAAAGTTAGTGTTTGTAGCTAGCATTGTGACAAAATTATTAGAAAAAGAAAAATTTACACCTGAGCTTGTAAAGTATTGTGACTGTTTTGCAAGTCTGGTGTAGAGGCCAGGCTTTTCTTGAACCTGTGCTGCCTAGCCTGGGATGAACCCTTTAAGTGGTGTGAGACTC